AATGTCAAAATTCCTTGGACACACACGCGAAATAATGGCAATTTTTTCTTGACCGTTTTCTTAAGAGCTGGATACTAAGCTTTAACGACGCCAATGCAAATGTAATGGAAACGCTGTGCCGATGTGAGGAGCATGCGGTGGGTGAGTGCTAAAGCTAGTGCTGTGTTGGTGGAGGGGTGGCGGTGGTGTAAATAATCAGACTAATAAATTTAAGCGCCCGCGCAAACGGTGATCTCCACCGACCGCTCCACCAGCCAACCAACCTGAGCTGCCCGATAACGCTGTAAGCAAGGAAAAATCGTACGTACACTCGCATATTCATTCAAATGTATGTGAATATAGACACTTACTTAGGTGTTTAATAAATTGTAAGTACTCGTATACAATTTTTTTTACGAGCTCAACGACGTTGTATTTATGTTTGTAGTTGCGGACAAGGGCATAGGCAGCCATCGCACATCGTTTTGGCCGAGAGGGGCGATGCCCTATCATCTACATACATACATACATACATACATACATATGTACATACATAAATAGCAGCTATTTACAACTACGTAGTAGAATTATTGTAATTCCATCGTAAACAGCGCCCTCATTCATTACTGGTTGATTACTGGATTGCATTGTCTGAGCGAGTGTCGGCTGGTTGATTGTAGCTGCTATTGGAAAAGCGCGCCAGAGTACAATGCAAATACAAAACAATTAGAAAAACATAGTTAGTTAGTTAATGGAGGAGTCGTTGTCGGAAATGCGCACTTGCCGGGCGGGGTATCCATAAGTTATGTATTTCATAATTTCTAGCGTTGGCTGTTGCTTGCTTGTTGATATGTATAGTATAGTATGTATAGTATTTTTAGTGACTTTAGCAGACGTCACATATGTACGTATACATATATACATATAATATTAAATCAGTTACCCGTTGAGTATGTATATAAATACACAAATTTTTCTACGCCTTTATCCAGTTAAATTTAGTACCGCACCAATATCGTTAAAGCTTATTTGACAGCTACACAATCACAGTTTGTTTATTTGGTAATTACCGCAGGTGAATTTAAGTATCTAAATATTTATTAAGTATGGGCGCATATCAACTTACTGTATGTATGTATGTATGTATGTATGTACGCCTATGAGCACCGCACTTAATGCGTAAATGCTAAAAGTGGCGGGAAATAAAAATAAAATATGTGTATTAAAATAATGAAGATAAATAATATCGCCGTTTAAAGTACAAAAGCGCGTATCGTCATTCTGCCAAATCGCGTAACAGAAATTTGTTGCCAAAAATTAACGATATAACTTGTTTAGAACATTGATATTAAATAATTTTCTTAATTACGAAACAACGAAAAAATGCTTGCCAAAATTTTACTATGTAGGTACCCATTAGTCTCTAAACTATATTATTGTTAAGGAAAGACAAAGAAGAAAAGGCGCAGATTACAAATACAAAGAAGGCAAAAATAACAGGTTTTTACCAGCCCACAGATATAAGCCCTACAAATTAACCTACATCTTGGTCACAATTCACTCGAAATTTTGAAGGGCCTCAGATTCGGATTCGGTAATTGGGTCTGGTTAAGCGTGTGTGTGTTTTTTTTTTGTGTGCCGGTGTAAGTATTACTTCAAATATTTTTTCTGCTATGTTTAATGAGATCAAATGCAGCTTCTTCAGAATAAGAATCAACAGAATAAAAAATGGGAGAAGTTGCAGGGTTAAAAAAATAAAATAGGAAACCGAATTTCACTGAAATTTTTATTGGAGTCATTTTGAAAGTACCACCCCAATAGAAAGGTAGAACCGCTGAGAGGAATTTTTCAAATTCTTGACGTTTGCAAGCAATTTAATTTTAAAATTTTACACACAAACTCACACACACATTCTCATTTTCAATCTCAAACAACAACAACTTTGAACAACTCCTTTTTTTTACTATCCATTTTATATGATTTTAAAATGTTGGCAAACTTCAAAAAAAAAATCATGGCCGACGAATTGAGAGAACGATTTTACCTTACTATGTTTTTATCATGGTATCACCAACGAAGANACATACTCTTGAGAAATACGGTCAATTGACATTATTACCTTCTCAAAAGCGAAATAAAATCCGTTCAGATTATTGCTCTCTCGAACATTAAATTTGCGTAGCTTCGCGGCGGCCGGCGAGCTCTAGATCATTTCTACATTCTTCGTCAAATATTTCTCGTCTTCCAGCTCTTTTTGCGTTTAGTTTTTCGCATCGTGTTTTTATTATATTCATAATTTTAAGTTTTTTTTTATTAGAGTCAATTAGTGGTGGTTCATGATTGTTTTGATTAATAGCACTGAGGATTTGGCAATAACCTCTTTCATGTATGGAAGCAACATTTACGGGGATTTGTTTATTTTAACAATAATCATATCTCCCGTACGATGCAAGAACAAAATTTTTTTCTTTGAATCGACATACTTTAAGCATTGTTGACGCTATTTCCATTTTAATGAGGAAATAACATCACTTACTTTATTTCCAAATTTTTGGTGACTTTATTTCGCTTTTGAAAAGGTAATAATGTCAATTGTGAAATAGTGTCAATGTATGTTATTTCCGTTGATGTTGTTACCTTTTCCGTTTGTATCGGTTTACGGCTCATTTGAATAATAAGTGTTCTCTTGCTTTATACGTCACCAAAAAACGTTTTGTCGTATTCGGTATGGGTTCTGCCTAAATCTCTGTAAGAAAAGATTCTGGATCCCGGGATTGAATGCCGTAGTATGAAGCAAGAGTCCAAGTATTTTTTTAACCGTACCAGATCTTATCGCACTTGAGCTATGCATATTTTAATTTATTTTTAGCTTTTCGGGGCATTCCTAATCACAAATTATCGAAATTGAAATATTTATGACCAAACTTTTTTAAGCACAAACAGCGTGTCCATATATTTTAAATAAACACCTGCGAGTGATAACGGAAAATGTTTACCTATGTATTTATTAAGGTTTATTTAAAAGAAATTAGAGGCAAACTAAATAAACAAAAAATGGTGCTATGGTATTTTAATTCTATTTACTAATACCTTTAAAAAGATAGAAAGTAATATGAGCTCAGCTCACCGTAGTCAACACTTTTGAACTAACCAAACAAAGGTAACTTTATTTAAAAATAATACTCAGAAACCTTGACATATTTACCACAAAGTTAATAAACAAAATTTTGTTTACATAAATGCATGGAGAAAGTATTTTGTTATGGAAAAACTTTCATGGTAATCCCAAATGGCATTTTTGTTTTGTATAGTAGAATTGACAAACACTTTTCATTGAATACATTCAAGAATTTCAGGATATTTTGAAACAGTTACACTCTTTGAAAACTTTTGTTAAACTCTCTCCAACATGGTTCGTTAAAACGAATTCTAAAAGCAGCCAATGTTTAATAGTTCGTTTCAATATCAACGTTTGGCCACAAGTTCAGAGTATATTTAGTATTTGTACGAGCAGTTAACATTGAAAGCCAAAGCGTAGCACCGTCAGTCTGGGACTTTAACCCAAAATAAACACCTTACCATCAATGTACCAATTTCCCCGTTACTATGATCTAGTATTTCATTGGACGCAATATTGAATTTTAGGGACCAAGAGTACAACTCCACAACAAGCTTTTCGGGCGTTTGGCGCTTTTCAAGCTTTCAGCTACACAATTCAGCTATTGCTGAAAGTCTGAAAAGCGCGGAACGCTTGAAAAGCGCGGAACGCTTGAAAAGCTTTTCGTGGAGTTGTTCTCCTAACGCTGGTAGCTGCCTTATTGAGGTACGTTAAGAGCTTTACTAGCTTAGCACTATTCACCGTAAATCAATTAGACCACCCTTCTGCAACATCTGCTTTCCCCCACTCACAGAAGTGTGAGGTCAGAATCGTGGATATATTGGTCCGTTGGTGATCTTCGTTTGTTGCGAAACTTTCTGATTCAGCTTCTCTGCATAGCAGCAGCTCCTTTCCTACGTTCAACGGAACGTTAGTGCTCATTTGCACTTAATTTCCTTTCGTAATAAGTAAATTCCTGGTCGTGGGGCCATCGACAAGAGCTTTTTCTTTCTTAGAAGCGAAACTTTTCCAGCGAATTAACGTCACGGTGAAGGTGGTATATGGCGAATACGTGGACGGAAAACGAATGACTGACTGCTCTTTACTTCATACACGCTTAGGGCACACACACTGAGTTTTTTTCTTAAAATTTTCCCTGTCTGACTTCGGCTTTGTGATTTGCAATAAATCTTGTACGCGAAGTCAGGTGCATATTCAGTGGCCTTATTGCCATATTATTGGTGCCTAGGGTCGCATATCAAATCAAAATTGCACCACAGTGCAAAATTGCTGTGCACCCAACAGTTGTAAATTCTGATTTTTTAAAGCATCTTTTAATTGCAATATCATTTCTACTTTCGCTGACACAAAAGCCATGTCATGCTTTCCCACGAAATTTTCAACTTTCGCTAAGATATTGCACACAAAACGGAGCTTCCATTTCGCTTTCATAACTTCATGCAAGCATTTAAATTATTATAATTTTATGGGAACTAATAACGATCATAAATCGGACAAGTGCCGGCAACAACATGGCTGAGATGAAATCAAACAAAAATCAATGGCATTTGCACATCAACCAATTCGTGTTTGATTGAGAGTCAGGCGTCCGAGTGGCACGCCAGCGAATAAAATCATTAGCCAACTAAATAATTCCTAGGTAATTGCATTAATTATCCGCGACGATAGCACCTGGCGATAGCACTGGGGGCAACAAAGTAACAATAACAATTAAAAGGTTTTGGCTTAATTGAATAAACATTTGACATAATTTATCACCGGACAATGCTTGTAAAATGGGACATGCAACACCAATCGAACACAAAATTTTTGGGATAGCAATCAAGCGACTGGCTCGCATTTGAGGGCCGGCCTGTGGTATAAATAAGGTGCAACGTCGACGCCATCAAACAGTTTGCAAAACTAACTATTTTTATTCAACGATTGAAAATGAAGCGCAACTTGGCTTTGCTCCTGTCCGTGCTGGTGCTGTTGATGGTGGGTATCCTTCGTAGTTGATATTGAATTTTTTAACGAGCTCCTTTTCCACGCAGGCAGGCGGCTGCACGAACGCTCAAGCACCTCCACCACCTAGTGGCGGCGCTGGGGCTGGTGCAGGAGCTGGGATGAGCATCGGTGCTGGCCTAGGTGGCGGCGCAGGTGGCGGAGGTGAGAGCGGAGCTGCCGGTGGTGCATCGTTCGGCGCAGGATTCAGCGTTGGCGCCGGCGGTGGTGGTGGCGGACAAGGCGGCGCTGGTGCGGGCCGACGCTAAGCGCAACCACAACACCTGCGCACACTAATGTGTTGATTTGTTTTTTTTTTTTTGATTACTGCAAATGTAAACGAGGGTATCATAAATAAAAGCGCCTAGCTGAAGGCAAACGAGTATTTGTTGGAACAATCATTCATTCGATATCCGATTTCGATTTCCGCTTGCCCATGGCTGTCGATTGTACGCTTAACTGTCGATTAAATGTTCAATGCTGCGGAAGGCCATTTTTATTGGCGACAGAAGGGGCGACCAGGCACAGCACCTGTGATAATAGTGGCGGCGTGAATTGCTGATTAAAAAAAATGCGGACAAGTGTTGAGTAGCAAACAATTTTATGAGAGCCAGTAGAATTTTTACTTTGTCATAGCCCCCAAACATGTTGGTATGCGCATGTTAAGTCCAAGGCTCTACATTCGGAAATTCTTTTCGCTTAACAGCTTATCAGGAGGCGCGTGGTGTAGGTTTACGGTTATCTACTCGCCGCTGGGCACATGTCACGCAGCCAAGCGACCACTTTGTCCTTGCAAAAGTTAAAAATTCTTCAATCAATATGGCTCTAATGCAAGCCTCCGCCAAAAGGGAGAGTCCGCGGTGTGCGGGCGTAGTGTGGCGCCGCCGCCGCTTCAAAGCTCAAATTGGCAGCGCGTGCATTTTGTCATAAAGTCGGTGAAATAAAAATCAGAATCAGAGAATTTACGAGCACCACCACTTCAATATTTCAAATGCAAACAAAAAAAGTTAATACAGTGCACGAGCGTTCCGCACTCGCATCGTTTCGATTTCATTGTTTGCATTATCTGCGGCGGCGACTGATTACTCGTCTTACCGTTACGTCAACAGGCCAACTATGCGCGGACTATTTTTTTTTTGGTGAAAATGAGGGAGACAGAAACAAAGAAGTCCCACAAGCAAAAAAAAATGGGAAGGCAAGTCCAAAAGCCAAGGAACAACGGTAATGAGCGGAAGATAAGCGTAGCCGAGCGTAGAGGGAGTGTATGTATGTACGACGGGGCGTATGATGACTGTTATAAACTTGGTAAACTTGAAATGCTATCGATCACGTGCAGGCGGGCCGGGCCGCCGACCATAACAGTCGCGACAAGCTCAAAATAAACAAAACGTGAAGTCGGCGGTTACGTCGTCGCCTTAAGAATTGTGCGCATTGTTGATTATGTTTGTTGCTGTTGCATACCATACCATACCGTACGTTCAAAAATAATTGGCAATTTAAGCGTCGACGCTAAGCGATAAGCGCGATGAAAGGCAAGCGAAAGGTGCTATTATTATTTATAACGTTCATGTGACGCTGATTGATTTACGGACAATTGTAAAAATTGTGAAATTTTCGCCAAAAAAAAAAAGCACAAGCGCTGGGTATTCGTACGGCGCTGAATAACTTGGCGCCAGATATGACTATCAAATCGACGTGTAGTGGGTTTTCAAGGAAGTTTGGCTTAATTTTATGACCAACAGAATAAATGGTGAAAACTATTTGTGTGCATATATTCTTAACACAGAGTATCAAATTGGGGACTTGACACATCTTCACATCAAGAAACTAGCATAAGGAGTACATATTCAACAATTTTTCTTGAGCTTGCGGCCGTTTTTAATGAAAAACTTATTGTGGAAAAGCAACAACTATTTGAAAAAATGATAGAAGTGATAGCTATTTCGAAAATCACCACATTTCCTAATCAGACTTCTTTCAATAGGATTCAAACCGACAATCACCACTGACTCAGCCAGTTGCCTACGCACTGTGCTAAGTTCGCCTTGTAAATTATTGTTGCTTTTTTTTGCAAGCGCAGCTATTCCGCTGCAATTCACACTTGATCATGTGGTTGTTGGTTTTGTAATATACATATATATGGTAACGTATAGATTATCGGCATAAGCTGTTGATCTAAGAGCCCTGCCACTTATCGTGACTAAGATCTTGTTGACCACAGATGTCCATATCATCGGGGATAGAATATCGCCCTGAGCAGTACCGCTGTTCGCCAATAATGACTCGGTGGAGATGTTGAACCTAGTAAGACTTAGAACTTGCCGCTCGTTCGGTATGGTCGCATATATGTAAAGACATTCTTTAGGTCAGTGCGATGTATCGAGCGAGCGAAGGAGGGAGCCCGTAAAATACCGACCGTAATGCGACTCCAAAATCTTGCAACGACTAGCCAGTAAGAAATCTGTGACGATGTAGAGTTATGACATTCCGTTAAGAAAACCGCACGAGAAGATTCTCGAGAGCCTTATAACGGACCAAAATGTCTTTAGTGTTCTCTGAGGAAAGGAAATTACAATCACGGCAAGATGCAGAAATGTGTAATAGCTGTGGCTAGGGATAAATCGATACCATCAAGGTATTACTCAAATCAGTACTTGTACTTGTATCAAACAAGGTATCGATAGCTACTCAGTATCGGAAAGGTATCGAGTACTTGTACATAGAACTACTATTTTGCGTATTTTTCAAACTTATTGTATTTTTTTTTCACAAAAAAAAAATGCATTTTCACAAGCTAATTTTTTTAATATTTTTTCACACAAAAATTTAAGACAACAATTATTTTTGTATAGGATTTGATTTCAAAAATATTAGAATACAGATTAATAGAGACATTTTTTTCATATAAAATAAGTTTAAGGAAAGAACTCTTTTTTTGTTATACCTATTTCCCAAAAACATCAACTTTTCCAAGTGGAAGGCGGGTTCGAGATTTTGATATAGTTGTACCTGTTTTTGAGAAAAGCCAGGGACAGATGACCCAACAACCGTTATGTACAGACAGGCTTCTTTATATAGCTGCGGAAATGTAGTGCGCATATCTTCCCATTCCTCTAATGGTTTGCTTTGCAAAGAAGATGCTGAAGCATAATAAGTTTTCCGCTTCCGATACAAGTACTTTTTTTTCGATACCTACTTGGATCGCAGTAAAAAGTATCGAGTACAAAAATACTTGGTAAATTGAGAAAAGTATCGAGTATGTACTTGGATTTACTTGTATCGATTTATCTCTACCTGTGGCAATGAGGAATAGCAGATTAAGTCGAAAGTATGCTTGCGAATGTATGCAGTAGTGATTTAAATACAACACAGATATTTTTTATATCGAACCCAGACCTCAGTAACTATCATTCTGTTTCAACGGGAAGTTGTACCAGGACAGCGAGGTTTTGATGATTTCCTAGCTTTCCTTCCAAGCTGCCAGCTATTCAAATGAAAATCGAGTTCAACAAAATTGCAAATAAATAGAACTAACTTAGCTATGAACATAGCCAACCACATATCTACTTATGTACATACATACATAGCAATGTACTCGTAGATGATAAGAAGCACAAAAATTTTTTAATTCGTTAACTTTTAAGCGCTTTATTATTTTTTGAAAATATTTGTCAAGCTGAAGCTGTTTGTTTCAAAAAAGTGTTGATTCACCGACGAGAAATAAATAAGGCAAACATCTGTTTACATGCAAATCCATCAACAACAGTTGACTCAGCATGGCTCATTATTGGTATGTTATCTCCCAGCACACAGCCACACTTACATACATATGTACATATTTATACACATACACACATTGATGGACTGAATAGCATAATACACCAGAATAAATTGTTTATAATTTGTTGCCATTATATTTTTCCAATTTGTTTATTATTTGCGCTTAATTTACTCTCTACTACTACAGTTGCGTTCAAGTACATACATACATACATATTTATATAATAATTGTTTTTTTTTTTTGCTTTTTTTCGGTTTCTGTTGCGTTTATTTGTTTAATTTTATTATTTGCAATTTGATAGTCGGATGTTCTGCGTTGATGATTTGTATTTGTTGCATTGCACTGGCGCTGCATTTACATTGAAATTTGTTTACGACTTTCCGCTCCATTGTATGTGTTATGACATTAAAATGTCGCTGCTTTTCTTTTCCTTTTTCAATTTAATTTTTTGATTTTTTTTTTTTCGTTCATTTGTTGCGTTGTACACGCAGCACTCGAATGCTCAACTAGCTAACTACCTGTTCCATTTGAATTTTGCGAATGAGTTTAAATTTTTTTAAATATTTTCTTTTTTTTTGTGCAAATCGCGAATTTAATTTTGATTGTTTGTTTACAATTTGGAATTTCCCACATTGGCCAGTACAGCAGTGCGCTCTCCGCTAACCCCTCGCCCAATCGTAAAAACGCATTTGACTACTAGCAAACGCAAGCTACGATTTAATTGAATAGGGGAAAACAAATTCGTTTCGACAATTTAGGCTGGCATTGAATGGCGCGCCAGCTGATCGAAGCGGTGATAATGATAATCGGCACGTTAATCGTCGTTGTTTACAATAGCGTTGCGGTTTGGGAGTGTTGGCAATTGCAGTGTTCATAATGCAGATGACGTAATGGTATTGGTAGTAGTAATGGAATGGTAATGGTTATTGTAATGATGATAGTGGTAATTGTAATTGTAATTGTAATTGATATTGATATTGGTACTGGTAATTGCAATAGTAATGATAATGGTAATTGTAATGATAGTGGTAATTGTAATTGTAATGCTACTAGTATTGGTAATGACAATGATAATGGTAATGTTAGTAACAATGGCAGTGGAAATGGTAATGGCAGTGGTAATTGTAATGATAGTGATAATGGTAATAACAATAATTGGTATTTGTTATGGTAATGGTGATGGTAATGTTTATGGGATGGTAATTGTAATGGTAATTGTAATGGTAATGTTAATGACAATTATAATTACAACGGCAATAATAGGAACGTTAAGTTTTTACATGCATTGATTTTCTAGAAGAAAAAGGAAAGTCCGAACATCGGAGTTTCTTGGAAACACATACATATGCACTGTATATGTATATATGTATTTAAGAACTAAATTATGTGCATAAGTACTTTAGTATATATGTACCAAAGGTCATCGAACGCTATTAGCCACAATTCAGTATGGGTGTCACCATCTTTGTATGATTCTGTGCAACAAATAAGTGGCTTTCTAAGCGGTCAATGTGCAGGCGCCAAGGTGTCAAAAGCCTCGCATTAACCGCTAATAAAACGACTAGCCTCCTTCGCTTTGCACTAGCCATGCGAACAGACAA